GAACAGAAATTGTTTAGAAAAAAAGTAGATGAAAGTAAATCTTACAGTTTATACACTTCTGTAAGCCTTAAGGTTTTGAAAATAATCAAACAAAATGGGTTTTATGCTGCGTACAGGCAATAACAGATTGAACGCACCAAAACTATTATACTGCATTAACATTTCACAAGTTGTTCAAAGTGTTATTCTATAGACATGAAAATAACAGCGTTCAACATTCTCCATGTATCGTAGCATTTCCTGAACCAAGAAGTTAAAAAACATTTTCTCATGCTTACACAACTTCTTGTACTCACAACTGTCAGCTCATGTCCTTTGATCACTTCTCACTCTGATAGTGTGCTTCCATTTTTCATCATGTTAATATTTGAGGGGACCTGTGATCTTGGGGTGAGATGTTGGACTCTCATTCATAGTTCAGTCCCCCATCAGATCTGTATGGAGATCTTTCTGCTCATAGATTGAAACGTTTACACCCACGGGACTGTGAAGAATGGCAACCCCCCTCCATCATGGTGTAGAGCCCACATTGAGCCAGAGGTCCCCTCTGCTGATCATCATCCTAAAGAATCTGGCCTATGGGTGCCACCATCTCAGATGCTGCACTCCTACATTTGTAGACAGAGGCCAGAAAAGTGAACCTACATCATATCTGGAAGTATTACACAAACAAGAACATATGTTTAAAGCATGTAAAGATTGCAAAGAAAGATACTGGTGATCAGATATGTCGTATTGGGAGGAAACATATTTTTTAGTTCTTGACAAAAGAATAAGGGTTCCAGTACAATGAACTGGTTCATATTGTAAGAAAAGAGTTGAGATTGATGTATTTTTGTCATAAAATGTCTATGCCTTAACATGTCATTACTGTTAAAACTGGCCTGGTATTGATAAAGGGGTATTTAAAAACTGTCAGTGTATTTTTTATTTATTATGAAAGATAATTAAAAATTGTACATGATACATCTACAGCAAACTTACTATAATATTTTTAATTATATCATATTTTTAATTCTGCAAAGTTGTGTCATAACTTTTAAGAATGTCTATTGAAATCTGCTGTGGTGGTGCATCAAAATACATAATTAAAATTGTGTCAGAATGTATCACTAATGCTGAGACCTCAAACATATATTGGCTTTGAATATTGTCAGCTGTTTTGTTCCTCTGAAGCCCACTTCATTTTGCAATTCAGTTAGATATAAGGTACAGAGGGAAAGTCCTCTCTGACCAACTGCTGTTGGTATAAATTAACATTCATGAAGTTCCCTGCATGTAAATTGATAGTACAGAACTCCTCATTTAGAACTTAAGTAGTACAAGCACTAGCACTGTGTGTGGAAAAGAACAAACATGCATATAGACATATTGAAATGTGACTGAGAGTTGACACTTTGAGAGGGACACACCTTTATTTTCATTTCAGTGTTCCCAGTGACCACTTTACACTGGGATGACAGAAAAATTATTTATGTTAAATACTTCAGTTTGAAGAAACAAACATATATATATATATATATATTGAGGTTTTCACAGCCTCAATTTTAAATGTGTTTTATGACTTCATAATGGGAATTGTGACTGATTTTTAACTGCAGTTGGTTTTTATTTTCATACAACAGACTCATTTGCACGACTCATTGAATTATGATTATTTTTTCATAACAATTGCAGTAATAATGTAAATATATAAATCAAGTGGTTAGCTCAAAATGGTTTGTTTTTAGCAAGCAAAGTGTAAGTTTTTCATCACTTGATGGAACTATCTTTTTAATGGCTGGTATGTTTCTGTACACAGTGCAAAGAATGGATTTCAGTGTGTGGATATATTTTTTATTATTAATGTTATTCTGTGCCGGAACAACTATGTGTTAGTGGATACTGAGATTTCATTAGAAAAGAAGTGATTGTGTAAGTGACTGTTTTCAAGAAGTAGTGAAGTTTTTCAGTTTTTGCTTTAAAACATTTTCTTTTCTGAAAGAAGACTTCTCATCTTCTTCCAACAAAGAACTTGAATCACGTTAAGAGGTTGCAGTCCGGTCCAATGAAATCAGTTTTTATGTAAAACAAACGATATAATGGAAAAAGAATAGAAACACACTCAAGAAGACATTGTAACTGTTTCATTCTTACACTCAAGATTGTTCAGAGTTGGACAAGAGATGTGTTTCATGCTTTTATTTTCCCTTGCTGTCTGTGATCTTATTAGGGCAGAATGCAATGAATGTGGTATGAAGGAATTTTTTCTCCATTTTTTTTTACCATCCTTCTGCTGCAAGCGCTGTGCTAGCTTGGTAAAGTAAGAAAGTTTTGCCCCTCGTCCATTGGTTGACCACTTGGTCAAGGCAGGGCAACAGTTCCACAATAATCAATTTGTCGGTGTCCGTGTGAGTTCCAGCAATGTTGATGTGTTAGTAGAAAAGATTAATATAACTATACCCTTCTTTCTCTGATGTTAGTATAACATCGCCAGTATGCCATAGAAGGTAATCATCAGACCATGCAAATCTTAAAACCTTTTTTCCTTCAAAGTTCTTGCACTTGTGGTTATTCTCATATTGTAAATACGGTATCGTTCCGTTCCTTTTGTGAATAAGTATATAAATCTGATTATTATATAAATAAAAATATAAATATATAATCTTAGTAGTGTATATCAGGAAGATGATGTAGAAATTTTTAAAAGTCTTGTGTATGGTCCAAATCATTGGCATCAACAGAAAAATGTGACGTGTATCGGGTATTGATGCTGAGCTGTACTTAGTAGAAAACTGTATGACTTTATCATTGTAAGTTTTATAGATTCTTAGTGAACATGAGAATAGCTTTGTTTCTTGACCCTACCAATATGATTACTATGACTATAAAAATCACCTTGTTTTTACAAAGAAGAATGTGCTCAGAATTAAAATCAAGAAGGTGCAATAAAAGAAATCAACTTGTGTGCTGGAACCTATAGCGAGGATATACTGCTCATTCACAAGAAAGCAAACAAATGATGCATGATTTTAACTGAAATGTGTATATGAAAGAATTGATAATTCAAATCAGTGTTTGATATAACATGCTATTGATGGACACCAATAAACCATGGCCACTTATAACTAAGTAAGTAAAAGGGACTATCTGTAAGATATCTTCATCATCATCCTCCCATTATGTTGTATTAGTAACTATCACCTTCATTGTTTCTACAGGGTGACAGCCTTGACAATGTTATGTACATTTTAATGACAGCTTATAATGTGAGCATTTCAGATTCCAAAGAGGCTGATGGTTGCTTAAGAACTAGTAGTAATTTTTGTTTTGCTACTGTTAAACACTTAACAGTTAATAATTTAATGTTTTGAAAGCTCTGAATATATAGTGGTATGGCTGAAAGTTTCTTCCTGTATCTACCTTGCACATGGCTCATTCATAATATCAGCTTAGAAGATGACATGACTGGTACCAAGGATGAAAAGACTCTAACTAATTTGCCATAACTTGTTCTGTTAGAAAGGGTAACCTACCCAGGTGATTTAAAGTTTTTACAGTAAAAAGGAAGCATATATTTCATGAAAAGTGCCCAAGACTAAATAAGATCAATATTTTGTCAGTGTGGCAAATTACTTAGGTTACAGAAATATAGCTAACTGAAAAACATCTGCTACAAGGATTAAAAAATATTGATTCATAAGCGTATATGGGGTGTTTGCTGTGTTGCAAGTGGGCGAAGTACCTGGATTTCACTATGTACTGTGAGAATTGTGTGGGTCATTTAATGTGTATCATTCATATTGGTTGGTTACAACAGCCAGATTTAATTTATGGTTTTACATGTTTATAGAATGTAGCAAACTCTCATCTATTTAAAGATAATATTTGGAAACTATAAAAATGAATGGCAGGTTAAAAAGGTTAACACAAAAATGGAAATACATGGGAGTTAAAATGCAATGTTTCTGAAGGTAAAATAACTTTGGATGAATTTCAAGGAGTTGCATACAGAATTCTTGAACCTTTGTAGTACTGATACAAAAATCACACTGCATCCAGTATATGGAATGCATAGCTCAGGAGTATGGTTGCCAAGTATGATATAATATGTGATATTTATTAAAACCAGCATTCAGTTTCTGTTTGGGAGATAACAGATTTAAGTCCTGGTTGAAGTAATCTTAAACCTCCCCTCAGATGATATTATTTGACAAGTGATTTCAGTACATCAAACACTTTCACATTCTCATAACACATGCTAAGGTCAGTGGGTAAAGTACTGCTTGCCACAAGGTTAACTCATTGCAAGGCACAAATATTGAAGGACAGAAAGAAAAATTATTCTGCAGATATGTGATTTTGCATCTACTTGGTAGGTTGACTTTATGTTAGTTAATGGTGCTGTTTCAACATCAGAAGTTCCATAATGAATGAGATGAGAAGATGATCATGAAAGATAAGAGGAAGGATATATCAGGAGGTAATCATGCCCTTTCGAAGGCTCTCATCTGGCATTTGACTGACAAGTGACTGAATGAAACCATTTTAAAATCATGAGGTAGCTAGTTTTATAGCTTCACTTCAAAGCAGGCAACTCCCAGGTATCAACTCATCTGCTCCAAATCTCTGAAACATTTTGACACCATAAGAACATTACATGCTATCTTAAGAGGTTGAACAGTTCCGTCCAGTGTGACTAGTAAAGATGTTTCTTATTTCAATTCTTCATCCCTTACATGTTTTGGTCTTTACAGACCATCCTCAGAGGGACATCAGTACAATCGGAAGCCACTATTACAATATGTTTAATGTTAAAATATATACATATAATGTTGATAAAATACAATGAATATAAAATCTAATGTTTTAACAGTATAACAACAAAGCGCACCATGAACACCTACAGGACAACATTAAAGAATCCTCTTCTGAAGAACTACAAGGCGGCACACATTTGGCCCCCTGCAAGAGAAGAAATTTTAAATAGGACACTGTAACTGTATGTCCCTCGCCAGAATTATTTAATTAAGGGCATGACAAATTTATGCATTATTTCACACCCTGAGAGACGCTCCTCCGGCAAGATACCATCCCAACTATTGTCATCCTTAGGCTTAGGGTGTCACTATTGTCCCTAATGTCACCAGTTTGCTCCTAATGTCATAAACCCTTGAACTGACATTGTGCGAGACTGGCAAGGAGGGATCTTGGGTTCCCTGCTTGTGTGCCTTGAAGACCTAAAAAGTTTATGGGCATCTCAAAAAATACGAATGTAGGACAGATGTCAGGCTTGACCCTTGGCTTTCTCTTTTTGTTTTATTGTTTTTTTATATCCACTGGGGGACTTGTAAAGAGACGGCAGTTGTTTACAGGGAGCAGAGGTGGACAGTTGAAAAAGGGAGTTACAGGAGGGTAGCTAGCATGTGGCATGTATGGTCAGTGAGCTGGGGGCAAATTGGTATACAAAGGTTAAGTGTGATGAAGCGGCTAGCTTGGAGGAATAATATAAAGATTGATTATTGTATGAAATTTTAAATTAAGACTGCAATACACGGTGTGTTCTGGAGACCCCAGATTCATGAACCCTGAAGTGTGTTCCACTCCCATATCCGAAGCACCCATATCCATGAGATAAAGAACTCATCTCGAGTAATAGTCGTGACAGATGTACGTCGGCGGGCGGCTACAACACGAACCAACTTGGTTTACAGTTTCCAACAAAAATCTTAACAAACCAATTGTAAATATTTTAACATATTAAGACAGTTGCTGCAGTTGTTAAAACATTAGATTTTATCAACATTATATGTGTATTATATTATCTTTAAGCATCCTGTTGCACTCTACACTTGTGTATGTATAATATAAACACTGTCGTAAATGCAGCAGTTTATTGTAGTTCTTTGTCTTTCTTCTTTTACACTACATGTTTCAGCTGTAACTGGCCGCCATCAGGTGTATTTCACTTACGTAGCTGTCAAACTGCATGTAAATTAAAATATAAGAACACCAGCTTTCTCAATTGTCATTGCTGCATTTCAATTGGTCCCAATATACCAGAATCCCCTTCTGATTTTGTTAGTTATGTTTAAAATCTCTGTTAATATACACTCGTCGATTTGATTTAGAATTTTTTTTTTAATCTACAATTTAAAATTTCTAAAATTTAAATCACAGGGATACCTGCTCTATGTCTACATGTGCTGCAGCGGCTACTTCTTGCTTTCAGCACCGTTCACGTATTTTCTGTAATACACAAATATTTGTGTTACTATCTTATGTTCTTATGTTATTCCTATATGTTTTATACTGTTATGTGTACTTACTCTGTGCAGGTTCCCTGTGTGCGTGCTGCTGTTTATCTTTAATACGTTTGCTGTCTGGTGTGTTGTGTGCCGTGTTTTATGTTGTTGAGTGTAGGAGGGGAATGGGTAGTGGGGAGGGGGGGTACCGTTAGTCGGTATAGATCTCGTGTATTGTTTGAAATATGGGATTGTGTGTTTCTATGTATGTGTCATTAATCTGTAGGCCCTTCTTACTTATTTTATATATATGGTATTTCTCCAGTGTATTCAAATGTCTACCCTTCTTTCCCATTGTTACAACTTCCATTATGTCTGTTATTGTTCCGTATGAATGTCCCGTATTT